GCTCAGTGTATGTTCCCTCGGCTCTGTAATGAATACAGAACACACACCACAACAAAAAAACCCACTATGACCCATAGGGTCATAACATAAAGTCATGTTAACGAAAAGATCAAAAATACTTAGAAACAATCAGTACCAATTATTCTAGCACTATTCAAAGCCATGTTTCCAGCTCTTTATCAGAAACTTCATCCAATAATAACATGAATGTAACGTGAAGCTTTCTAACACCAGATGATCTGATATGTTTCTCAGCCACACATTCCATTACATTTAGTATAGTTATTTAAAATAAATTTGTATTTGGCACTTTCCTGTAGTAAGACATTGGTGTCTCCCTTTTTACTTGCTTGCTTAATACTGAAACAGCATGTTGTTCGAGGCTGTTCCTCTTAAATGATGACTCATCCTCGTCACTCTCTAACCAGAACAGAAGTGTCCTGTTTGGTGGTTTAACGGCAGCTACAGCAATATTAGCTCTGTCAGCAGCCACCTCACTCCCTCAGCTCTAGACCTTTTCTCCTTATTTTGCTTTGTTCTTATTGAACAGACCACACCTGGCATGAAATGGATTTTCCAATGATCTAACTGTCCAATTACTTCGGAGCCTGTGAAAATGGAGGGACTAAAAAAAATAAAATTGTCTGTAAATTCCTAAACGGTTAATGCAATGTTTCTGTTAAAGCCCTTAAATTAAAGCTGAAAGACTCCACTTCAATCACTGTGACGACTATAGTGGTGCACAGAGGCAAAATTACAAAAAATGTCACTTTCCAAATACTTATGGACCTGACTGTATGTTTAAAACATGTTTATTAATGGATCTGCAAGACCATAACTAAAGTGGTAAAGTATTCATTCTTAATAACCACTGCCTTAGTGCTAACTAATAATATTTCTGAGTTAGAAGTGGTTAAGAACACAAATTAGCTCCCAGATTTGACAGCAAAATACAGTAAAATACTGTAATTTAAGATACACCGTTACTGCAAATGGTAAGTTACTATAAAATTGCAGCCATTTAGGTGTCTGGAGTTTATGAAGAGTGACCACTTACTTGAATTTACTTCCATGTTTGGTCACTGTGAATTCAGATCATTACTACCATTTCAGATTCCATTAACATCATTCCAAGAATGTGTGCAAATAAAAGGTTACAGTTTATTAATATTTAACATAACTAGGCAACAAATAGTAACTACTTTAGAGAGGATGTTAATAATACATCATACTGATACATTTATACATTTCTAAGCTGCTTACAAATTATGTTTTTATTTGCCATGACATTCGAAAACTGTGAATAAGAAGGCCTTGAAGGAAAGTGTTACCAAAACAAGTGAGTAAAAACACTTTCTTCCTTGCTAAATATATCAAATCATTGCAGCAGAGCATTTATTTAAAGGGAATGGCTAATCTACTGTCCCTGATCAGTATCAGTTGGAGCCAATGGGGCCTCGTAACTTGCTAAAAAATTAGATTTTGCATTTCTTTCAAGGTCAATTATATATAACTTAGACTCTAGACTACTCAAGAAACACGTATGTCAAGCTAAAACACTTTTCAAGTAGAACAGAAGGCAGGAATCACCCTGGACAGGTCGCCAATTCATCGCACACGAGGCAACTAAGACAAAAACTGTAAATCTGAGCAATTTAAAATTATTACATTTCAAATAACACAATGAAATAAAACAAATGAGAACCAGTTTAGATAAAACTAAGTTGCAGGCTGAGTGATGGTTAGAGATTAGAATTATAATATATATAAAATGTTTGAGTGACACGAGTGAGTGGAGGCTTATAATTTCCATAGTTAATAAAGTCTGGGCTGATATGCTGCAGTTAAAAACAGATTTTCTCATGTACATTTCAGCACCTGAATGGCGATCCAGTCTGGAACAGTCTGATTTACATTACTTGTTGAGTACAGAAGTGATATGGCATATGACCAGAGCCTTGTAGATAAACTGAGGATTTTGTCACCTTCTTTGGGGAGAAGGTTGATAGAATCCGCCAGTCTTTTCCCTCTGTCCCCACTTCTTTCACTAGACCTCACTCTCTCGCTCTCAATCCCTTAAACTGTTTTTCTTCTCTTTCCACAGATGCTGTCCTTCAACTGATCAAATCCAGTAACCCAACCACCTGCCCACTGGATCCCATTCCATCCGCACTGTTCCAGTCAATCTCCAAGGATCTACTGCCCTTCATCACTTTTCTCATTAACAAGTCCTTGTCATCAGGTGAAGTACCATCAACGTTGAAGACAGCAAGAGTACTTCCCATCCTGAAGAAGCCCACGCTTGACAGCTCTAATGTCAACAACTACAGACCGGTATCACTCCTTTCTTTCCTTTCAAAAATTCTTGAACGTGCAGTCTATAATCAACTGTCTCTCTTTCTCACGCAGAACCAGCTCCAGGACCCCAACCAGTCTGGCTTCAAACCAGCGCACTCAACAGAAACTGCTCTTATAGCAGTGACAGAGAAGCTCCAGTCAGCAAGATCAGCCAGTATGTCATCTGTCCTGATTCTTCTTGACCTCTCAGCAGCTTTTGACACGGTCAACCACACAATCCTTCTGGACGTCCTCTCCAACCTTGGAATCACTGGCTCTGCGTGGAAATGGTTCAAGTCCTATCTGGAGGATCGCTCTTATCAGGTAACATGGAGAGGGTCCACATCCTCTCCATGCAGGCTCTCCACTGGTGTCCCACAAGGCTCGGTGCTAGGTCCTCTTCTCTTTTCTCTTTACACTAGCTCTCTTGGCAATGTAATATCATCTCATGGCTTCTCTTATCACTGTTATGCTGATGACATTCAACTAATGCTTTCTTTCTCACCCTCTGACACACAGGTTTCAAGTCGGATCTCGGCATGTCTGTCTGACATCTCTTCATGGATGGTAGCTCACCACCTGAAGCTCAATCCTAGCAAGACTGAGCTGCTATTCATCCCTGCAACTACAGGTCCTCATCATGATCTTGCCATCTCATTCGAGAACTCTCTGATTGTCCCGTCAGCAGAGGCAAGAAGTCTTGGTGTGGTTCTGGATGGCCAGTTATCGTTCTCGACTCACATTGCGAACCTAACTCGGTCATGCAGATTTCTCCTATTCAACATCCGGAGGATCCGACCCTTTCTCTCTCGAGAGACCACCCAGGTGCTAGTGCAGTCTCTTGTCATCTCAAGGCTTGACTACTGCAACTCGCTCTTGGCTGGTCTCCCGATGCAGGCCATCAGGCCTCTACAACTCATCCAGAATGCAGCAGCAAGACTCATCTTCAATCTCCCAAAGTTCAGCCACGTCACCCCACTGCTGCACTCTCTTCACTGGCTTCCTGTAGCTGCACGCATCAGATTTTAAACCCTTATGCTTGCCTACAAAGCCAAAAATGGACCAGCCCCTCCCTACTTGATGGCAATGGTCAAATCTCGAACTGTACCACGAGCCCTTCGAGCTTCGAGTACAGCTCGGCTTGACCCGCCATCCTTCAAAGCGTGCGGAAGGCAAACATCTAGACTGTTCTCTGTGCTGGCACCCAGGTGGTGGAACGAACTCCCACTGGCCGTCCGTACAGCAGAGTCTCTCGCTGTCTTCAAATGCAGACTGAAGACACACCTGTTTATTCAGCACTTAAATGAGCACTAAATTAAGTATTGATTGTAATGTATTGTACAGCACTTATGTATTGTATTGTATTGTATTGTATTGCACTGTTCTGTGTTTAACTCTGTCCCTTTTCACTAGGTGTCAATGACCTTCTGATTCTAGCAGTATCTAAGTTTAGGACTGTCTTTCTCTCTAACCTGTTGGTAGCTAGCAAAGATTCTTTCTCTGGATAGACAAAGCACTTTTTGTAAGTCGCTCTGGATAAGAGCGTCTGCTAAATGATGTAAATGTAAATGTAAACAGAAGCCAGTACTAGTGTGAATGTTACTGATATGATACTTCAGGAATAATAATTATATTCAGTGACTCTTTCAATGACTGTGTTTACATGCAAAGATTTTTGATTACAGATTAGGACTGAGGTGTTTATTCTCACTCTACTCAACAATCTGATGAAAATCTCTGTTTACATGCTCACTACAAGTAATCAGATCCAAAATGACACATATGTGTAGAGAACCACTTAGTGTAGACGTTACCATGACAACCAGCATCACGTGAGTCCAGTCAGAGTGAGACGAGCAGCAGTGAGCAGCGCTTGTGTTTTTAACTGCTTTAAAATGATGTCAGACTCAGGAAAACGTCCTTCACATGTCCTTATTAAAGAAGGCTGAGAGGAAGACGTCGTGTTCTGAGACACATAAGCTGGACGTCCGTCCCACCGCCGTCTTTTAAAGATCAGAGCATAAACTTCGTCTCCTCTGCAGACCAGTTTCTGCTCCGCCATGTTGAACGGTATAAACTCTCACTATGACACGACGAACATGATCAGAACGGACTTAAACTTTCCGATAGGGAACGTAATCAGATACAGGTGTTTACATGGATATTATTCTTCTATTTAACTGATTATTTACAGGATTACCCACCTGGATCAATTGGATAGAAACTATTCCGATTGGCCTCAATCAGACTAGACTATTGTGACTGAGGTGTTTACATGGACGTATTCTATTCTGATTGAGCTATTAGTTAGATTATTAATAGATTATAGGGCTGCATGTAAACGTGGCTAATGTTGTATCCCTTCAGAATAGAGTTAAAACCAACACTAGAAGTTGAATTTAGTTCTTAGACCAGTTTGCACTGTATTGAATGAGCTCTTGAAGTTTTTCATTGCTGTTTGAACTGTTTAATGGTGCACTTTGTCAGAGACGCCAGTACAATTCATATCAGACATGAAGAGCAGTTTATAATTTAACTGGCTTATACAGTAGAAAACATCTACTTCACCTCAACATGCACTCTGCTATTCTTACTAGGTGACTGTAACTGGTGGTGGGGCCACTTCCTGATTACCTCACTGAAGCCAGAGTGTTTTGCTATTCGTAGTTGGTGCTGTATAATTTAGTACTGATGTCAAAGCTGATTTCCACAATTAAGATTGAGATTTAGAGTTCAGGTTCTCTGCTGTTTGGTACTGGAACGTGAATTAGGAATGGCAGCGCGAAATGTACTAAGGGCAGCCAGGCTGGCTGTTACCAAAGAGAACAGACTTCTAATTTTTGTGTTAGTTAGCCTTGTTGTTGCAGAAGACTATGTTGGGAAAGAATTTCACTGCCCTTGCAAATCCGACTTTAGAAAAAAGTTTTTCTTTTCCTACCTGCTGATACCTGCCTTCGTTGTTTTTGCTGTCATGTATTGTATTATGCGTGAGCTGCAGACATCCAATACAGAACCTCAACAGCAGGAATCTAATGAGGAAACTCAAGGGCTGGAATCTATTAGGGGAGCTCCGATGTCTGGAAGACTAAATGAATGTTCATTTAAACAGATGTCTGGAAAATGGAGACAATTCATTTTTACCTTCTGGTGTTTTATTCCAAGTATTTTTTGGATAATCTTATTTTTCTGTGATGGCAGATATTGGGCTTGTTATCATACTACATTTGAAGGAGATGCTGACAGCACTGCAAACGCTCCATGGGAATGGTGTAACACAAACCGAACACTGACTGCTGCCCAGAAGAAAGCAGAGAAAGCCTATAACGACTCTAAGGTAAGCTCAAATCTAGCTGATGTGAAATATCATGATGTTAAATATTCTAGCTGCGCAGTGTAGAACCCCCTTCTTAAAACTTTCATCTACAGATGTTTATTGTTGCCACTGACTACCTTGACTGAGTGGGGGTTGTTAATACACTGGAAGGTAGAATGGCCTCTTATGTTTTAGTTTTAAGCTGTAATAACAGGAGGATGGAAAGTGCAAAGAGAAATAAGATTCAAGGCAGCTTCAATGCCGTATTTGAACAGACAGAACAGTTGAACACAGATAGTGGATAAAGTAACTCAATAGAAACAGACAGCAGAGGGTTGTGTTTCAGGATGTCTTGAGTAAGTTCATCTCATTTGACAAAATCGACTTTAGTTCCCCTTTAGTGCTTCCCCTTTTCTAAACTTACATTAGTACAAATGTATTTTTCCCTTCAGACTGTACAGCTGAAGTTCAAGTTTTTCTTTTCATGTTAAACTTGGTCTCATGAATCCACAGATTCTTACGCAAACTTTGAACGAGCAAAGCAAGATGTGCTAAAATTAGTAATTACAACCGCTATTCCAAAAAGTTGGGATGCTGTGTTAAATGTAAATAAAAACAGAATGCAATGATTTGCAAATCTAATAGATCCACATTGTATTCACAATAGAACATGGAACACATATCAGATGCTGAAATATGCAAGGTCTTCCCTGAAAGAGACGCTGTCTGGATGGCAGTATATGTTGTTCTAAAACCTCTATGTACTGTTCAGCATTGACGGAGTCTTTCCAGATGTGTAAGCTGCCCACGCCACAGGGACTAATGCAACCCCAGACCATCAGAGATGCAGGCTTTTGAACTGTGCACTGATAATAAGCTGGAAGGTCCGTCTCCTCTTGAGTCCGCAGGGCATGGCGTCCATGGTTTCCAAAAAGAATTTCAAATTTTAAATCACCACAGAACAGTTTTCTATTTTGCCTCAGTCCATTTTAAATGAGCTTTGGCGCAGAAAAGGCGGCAGCATTTCTGGATTGTGTTGACATATGGCTTCTTCTTTGCATGATACGGCTTTAACTTGCATTTGTGGATTGTACGGCAAACTGTGCTCACAGACAGTGATTTCTGGAGGTGTTTCTGAGCCCATGCAGTGATTTCCAGTAAAGAATCATGCCTGTTTTCAATGCAGCGCCAACTGAGGGCCCGAAGATCCCAAGTGTCCAATATTGATATTTAAAGTCTTCACAATTTTACTTTGAGGAACATGTTGGAAATTGTTCCACAATTTTTAGATGCAGTTTTCCGCAGATTGGTGAACCTCAGTCCATCTTTGCTTCTGAGAGACTCTAAAATGCTCTTTTTATACTCAGTCATGTGAGTTAGTGGCAAATTGCTCCTCCAGCTGTTTTTATTAGGGACACTTATTTTTCCAGACTTTGTTGCCCCTGTCCCAATTTTTTTGAGGTGCATTGCTGCCATCAAGTTCTAAATGAGTTAATATTTTTCATGAAATGGTAAAATGTCTCACATTCAACGTCTGATTTGTGTTTTATGTTCTATTATGAATAAAATATGGGTCTATGAGATTTGCAAATCATTGCATTCTGTTTTCTATTTACATTTATTTGCATCTTCCACAGCGTCCCAACTTTTTTGGAAATGAGGTTGTAAAAAACATATCTGAACAACATGCATGAAAAGAAACAATAACTATGTTCTGTGTTTTTTTGTTGCAGTTTGGAGGTTTCATTGCCCTCTTGGTCTCCACAATTGGAATACTGATATTATATATTACGTTTGATAAACACCGTAGAGAATATGGAGTCTCCAGTGAACAGGTCAGTTCTCCATCCAAGGCTTGTTTTAATCTGCAGTGGTGAAACAACTAGATATCCTCATGATCAAACTATCCCCTTCACAGACAGCAGCAGAGCAGGGCACTGCTGAGGCACAGGAAAGTAGTGGACAGAGGACAACTACACATGTAAATTTAGCCATCTTCAAACTGTTTTCATAAATAAATTACAGATAAACTACAGTAAACACTGGTTTATACATTAGAAAAACACTGTTAACATCTACATCAGTGTAGTACAGCACTGCAGCGGAGAACAACTAGATATTCCTAATGATCAAACTGTTCTCTTTACAGACTGAAGCAGAAGGACTTCTAATGGCAAAACTTCCTGCGACGGAGGAAAGCTGAACTCTACATGTGTAAATTTAGACGCTGAGACGCCGACCCTGCACAGTTTTTCAGAACAAAGAGCTGACGAGGTCATCCAAGACAGCATCAGTTCATCACTGAAACATTTTATCCTCCTTGAACTCTTTATGCTTTTTTTATTGCATAATTCAAATGTTCTTTTGTATTTTATTTTCTAATTTACTGCTATACAGGCTGTAGTGTCATGAGGAGGCTGACTGCCAAATAGTTTCCCCTTTTTTACTTCTAGTAACTTTTCTTGTCTGTTGTCGGGACCAAGGGCTGCCCCCCTTCAACCCCAGGCCTCCAACATAATATTATAAATAAAAAATAAATCTTTTACCGACTAAACACTTTCACTAATAACTGTTCTAAGTTCTCAGAAGATGTCAAAAAGGAAAGAGTCTTCAGACGCTGAGTTTGTGGAAGAGGAGTATCAGGTGGCTCAGGGTCTCGAGAGACCCAACTGCGCAAACAGTGTTCCAAACAACAGTTTATACCATTTATCTGGGGTAGTTTGATATCCCCCCATCTTACTTCTCAAATTTTGATATTAGCTCATTCTGTAATAGGTTTATCTCTTCGACTGAAACCCTAAAATAGCATGCAGTTACCTTACACTCTCAGAAATAAAGGTGCTAAACTGTCACTGGGTCAGTTCCCCTCTTGTCACTGGGGTGGAACCCTCAAGGCTCCATCTCAGTACCTTTAGTCAGGGAACATAACTGAACCATAATCCACTGAAATGATATCTTCTAAGCTGTACTGACTCCACACACCCCGTCTCGTCTCCAGGCTTTCATTTTATTGTTCTGTTTTAGAACATTTGGTTATGAAAAGGTACAAATACGAACTTTTCACCTGGAAAAAAACTGTTTAAGGTTCACAATCAGACCTTACGACCACTGTACAACCTTTGAGAGAACACATAGATTTGTTTGTACCTTGATGAACAAAAAATGTACCTGCACAGAACATTTATTAATAACAGTGTATGACAGGGACGTTCAAGATCTACCAGATCTACCACCCTGTAGATTTTAGCTCCAACTCTAATCTAACCCACCTGATCCAGGTAATGAAGGCCCTCAGGAGCATTCGAATATAACAGCTAGGTGTGCTGGAGCTCTGCAGGGTGGTAGATCTCCAGAACCAGGACTGGACATCCCCATCCTAAGGTAAATGATCTTAACTTATGGTTAATTTGATTTATAAAGAAAATTAAATAAATCATGTGTTACTTGGTGCTGTATTTACCTAATGTTTATCCAGCTAAGAGTACAATTCATATCATGTAAGTAAAATGTATTTTTTTTTTTTTTTTACCCAATTTTCTCTCCAATTTAGTCATCTCCAATTCCACCCGCTAGTTAGGACTCCCCCCAATCACACGATGCTATCAACGCTAGGAGGGTGAAGGCTAACACAGGCTTCCTCCGAGACCTGTGAAGCGCCACCACATCTTTTCGAACTGCCGCTCACATAACGTCACCGGACAGCTGAATGCGCTCGGAGGAAAGCGCCAACCGCCAGATCTGTTACGTCAGCTAACAGACGCCTGCGCTGACTAGCATCGTGTTGAGTGATGGGGGGAGAAGGGCAGCCATCCCACCCACCCAGGTCGAGGCCAGTTGTGCTCTCTCGCACTCCTGGCTACGGACGGGTGTAGCATCACCAGGGATTGAACTCGCGATCTCCTGATGACAGGACCAATGCTTGGACAGTTGCGCCACTCGGGAGCCCCCTGTAAAATGTATTTTTGATTTGTTTTCTTTTATTTTATTTTTCATTTTTTCATTTTACTCTATTTTTGTCTATATGATCATTCATTGTATACCTTTTGTAAAATTGTTTTTGTTAAAGATACAAATTATTTAACAAATAGATCTTTTTGGGAGCTTTTATTTATTAATTTTTGGGCCATCAGAAGAACTGTAGATTTCATACACAAGGAAGTGAACATATGCTAATGTGTCCTAACCTAAATAAAACTAAGCTAGAAGATTTGGAAACATGACCCAAAATCCATTCTATAACCTTTAATATTTGTCCTCTGCTTTTAGGCTTCAAAACCCAAAAAAAAGGGTTAACCCAGATACACAAATCCCAGCAATCACCAGGAGTGGGGCTAATAGATTTGCTTCAGAGTTTTTCATTGTTCAGTGAACAAAGTTTAATTTCACCATTAGTTGGGTCCAAGTAGAGACCTGAATCTCTTAATGCTCTGAATATCAGCTCCATCACTCAACATTGAGACAGAGTCGTCTACAAACACTGTAAAATGTCCCACAAAAGTGATATATCGTTAATTATCAACGTAAGTGTTTCTCAGTTAATAACAAACCTGAATTTAAAAATGATTTTCCTTTATTAAAAAACGTACATACTTACAAGATTCAGAGGCAAGTTTGCCATTTTCTCTGGTAGGAAGAGGTAGAAGGTCACGATATACACTATATTTCCAAAAGTATTTGCTCGTCTGCCTTCACACGCATATGAACTTCAGTGACATCCCATTCTTAATCCATAGGGTTTAATATGATGTCGGCCCACCCTTTGCAGCTATAACAGCTTCACCTCTTCTGGGAAGGCTTTCCACAAGGGTTAGGAGTGTTTATGGGAATTTTTGACCATTCTTCCAGAAGAGCATTTGTGAGGTCAGACACTGATGTCGCTTTACACCACTGCATTCAACGCTTTGCATTGCGCTTGGTGATGTAAGGCTTGGATGCAGCTGCTCGGCCATGGAAACCCATTCATGAAGCTCTTTATGCTGTTCTTGAGCTGATCTGAAGGCCACATGAAGTTTGGAGGTCTGTAGCATTTGACTCTGCAGAAAGTTGGTGACCTCTGCGCACTATGTGCCTCAGCATCCACTGACCCCGCTCTGTCATTTTACGTGGCCGACCACTTCGTGGCTGAGTTGCTGTCGTTCCCAATCGCTTCCGCTTTGTTATAATACCACTGACAGTTGACTGTGGAATATTTAGTAGAGAGGAAATTTCACGACTGGACTTGTTGCACAGGTGGCATCCTATCATGGTACCACGCTGGAGTTCACTGAGCTCCTGAGAGCGACCCATTCTTTCACTAATGTTTGTAGAAGCAGTCTGCAGGCCTAGGTGCTTGGTTTTATACACCTGTGGCCTTGGAAATGATTGGAACACCTGAATTCAATGGTTTGGATGGGTGAGTGAATACTATTGGCAATATAGTGTATGTCACATCTTGTAAATCATCTAGAATCCCAAGCTTAACAGTTGTAATTACAAGTTTGTCGGCCGTTGAAGTGCAAAATTACAAGTGGAAAATTGGGAATTTACAGTTTCCGACACCACTCAAATGCAGCATCAGCACTAGTCTGTTAGCTCGCTAGGCTACTAGAAAAACACACACAGAACCTAGCCCTAAAATAAACAAAAAACACAGGTGTGCTCTGATGCCATAGCACATATACATCCAGTCTCATATTTTGGTATTCGTTTGTGTTGTGCATTTTTGTAGTGTATTGTATTGTTTTACATTACACCTTCATAACATCTACCAGTTCCTTGTCTATGTTTTTAGGCTTGAGGTCTCAACTGAGGTGGTCAACACTGTGACAATGGAATATTGTCTGTGTCACATAAAAACTTTGTATATCCATTTTTTACGTTTTGTTCATTTATTTTCATACTTGGAAAAGTCCAGTTACGCTTTCGCTTGTGTTAAAATTTCATGATGAACAGACCAATAGAAAGGGTAAAAAATTACATTAATAGTCCAAAATGACATTAACTTTCACTATAAATTAAGATTTTTTTTCCTTCTACTGTAAAGTTGCCATTTTGGAGATACTGGGTTTTCTTCTGACAGAATAAAAACAATGAACTGAATTTTAAACTGAGTAAATTTCTGTTCTCTCTTTTAATGAACCAACATCGCCATCTAGGTGCTAAAGTGTGTAACACACCCAGAGGAGATAAACAAACTGCTCAGTGAATATAATGAAGCCCTAATGATGAAACCATCTGCATTCCTGGGCTACACTTTCCTTTCAATTGAAAAATCTCCATTCAGGATGTTGTTCAATCAAGGACTTAGCCCGGTCCAGGAAACTGACCCGTACAATTTAGTCAACTCTGTATGCCTATAATCATATTACAAAGGTATCACTTGCTGATCATTGGCTGATCACATTCATTTCAGGCTTAAGAAACTTATGATGCACTTAATTTTACTGTTGAACACTTTATTGTTTTTTTCTTTACATTTTGAGTAAAAAATGCAGAAATCTGCAAAGCAAACAAGGAAACTGCAATTCTGACCAGTTTCTGCAGTGTGTTTCTCTGCATAACGTGCATATGAGAAATAAAAAATGCATGACAAGCTCTGAAAGAGAGAGAGAAATGAAGAGGAAAAGCAAATAGAAACATTTTAATCAAATAAACGATGGAAAGGAAACAGATAAGTAATAAAACATTAGATATGTACATCTGTAGGAGAGCTAGCAGCTCTTAGGGGTTTATTTCAAAACGTCATCCAACCACTTCTTTATTGGTCCATAACATATGTCAACAAAAATAAATTTATTAGACTGTGATTCAATGAGAACTCCGAACATCATGTCTGCCTGTTTCTCCTTCTTAAAGAAAGATTTTTTTGAAACCGTTACTTTCTTCAGGAGACCGGAACCATAATCATCCTGTTGGGATAGAAATAAAGAAAGAAGGATTGAGAAAACATGTAACATGTTACTGTTTTAAAACAGACAAGAAGATTCAATAACTGACTACTTAAGAATTTAAACAGACTCCAAGTAGTCATGAAATGCTGTCCATTTCTGGTCCAGTTTCTGCCAGCCAAGTGTGCCACAATTGGTCTAAATTTGGCAGCTTGTGTCAGCTTGGACTCTTTTTCTTTTTAACTGACTGTCCAGAATCGGACAAAATACCCTTGCATGTACAGACCCTGCCATAACTGGGCTGGAAACAACCCCCAAATCCCCCCAAAAAAGGCTTGATGCTCCCAAATAAGCACTTATACAGTCAATGAGCACTTTATTAGGAGCATCTGGTCATTCAGGTGTTCCAATCACTTCCATGGCCACAGGTGTATAAAACCAATCACCTAGGCCTGCAGACTGCTTCTACAGACATTAGTGAAAGAATGGTCGCTCTCTGGAGCTCAGTGAACTCCAGCGTGGTACCATGATAGGATGCCACCTGTGCAACAAGTCCAGTCGTGAAATTTCCTCACTACTAAATATTCCAGTCAACTGTCAGTGGTATTATAACAAAGTGGAAGCGATTGGGAACGACAGCAACTCAGCAAAAAGCCACGAAGTGGTCGGCCACGTAAAATGACAGAGTGGGGTCAGCGGATGCTGAGGCGCATAGTGCGCAGAGGTTGCCAACTTTCTGCAGAGTCAATCGCTACAGACCTCCAAACTTCATGTGGCCTTCAGATCAGCTCAAGAACAGCGTAGAGAGCTTCATGGAATGGGTTTCCATGGCCGAGCAGCTGCGTCCAAGCCTTACATCACCAAGCGCAATGCAAAGCGTTGAATGCAGTGGTGTTAAGCGCCGCCACTGGACTCTAGAGCAGTGGAGACGTGTTCTCTGGAGTGACCAATCACACTTCTCCATCTGGCAAACTGATGGATGACTATGGGTTTGGCGGTTGCCAGGAGAACCGAACTTGTCTGACTGCATTGTGCCAAGTGTAAAGTTTGGTGGAGGGGGTTTATGGTGTGGGGTTGTTTTTCAGGAGTTGGGCTCGGCCCCTTAGTTCCAGTGAAAGGAACTCTTAATGCTTCAGCACCAAGAGATTTTGGACAATTTCATGCTCCCAACTTTGTGGGAACAGTTTGGGGAGTTTGGCCCCTTCCAGTTCCAATATGACTGCACATCAGTGAACAAAGCAAGGTCCATAAAGACATGGATGAGCGAGTTTGGTGTGGAAGAACTTGACTGGCCTGCACAGAGTCCTGACCTCAACCCAATGGAACACCTTTGGGATGAATTAGAGTGGAGACTGTGAGCCAGGCCTTCTCATCCAACATCAGTGTCTGACCACACAAACGCTCTTCTGGAAGAATGGTCAAAAATTCCCATAAACACTCTTAAACCTTGTGGAAAGCCTTCCCAGAAGAGTTGAAGCTGTTATAGCTGCAAAGGGTGGGCCGACATCATATTAAACCCTATGGTTTAAGAATGGGATGTCACTGAAGTTCATATGCGTGTGAAGGCAGACGAGCGAATACTTTTGGCAATATAGTGTATGTACTCAGCCAATCATCGGACAGCATATGGTGCATAAAATCATGCAGATACAGGCCAGCAGCTCCCATCCAAAATCAGAATCAGAAAAAATATGATCTTAGTGATTTTGACAGTGACATGATTGTTGGTGCCAGTTTGGCTTCTATAACTGCTGAACTTGTCAAATAGAGTTGTCTCTAGAGTTTACACAGAATGATGCAACCACTGATAGCTGATTAGGGAGCGTCTGCAAATTACGATCATACCTTATGAGCTTGTGCAGCCTTTTAGCTGAGAGAATATAAATATTGACCAGGTAGTTTTTAGAATGGCATCTATTTGTAATTATTGTTGATGAGGGGTCTCAAATAAGATTTCTGCCTGATTGAACTTTTGACTTTAGTGTGGTAAGCAACAGATTTTTAATAAATCGGCAAAATCACAGGAGACCATATAGTTCTAAACTATATTGCATTTGCATGTTGAACTCAAACTCAATCATTCTTCAGCGATTACTTTTTCTCTGTGTTCTCTTTTAGTCTTCTTTCATTTTTCTTTCACCCAGTTGTTTTCCTGGAGTACTGCTCTCTTGTTCTTGATTTCCGGACTTCGCACCATTTTCACAGCTCACAAGTTGACGTGTACATAATGTTTTCATCCTTACGTTCGAAATATTTCCATATCTTTCTCCACTTAGATTTGGCCATTTCACTAAACGTGAGATCAGTGATCAGTGGTGCTTTGTGTTAAGTTAAATTCTTAGTAAAAAAGTCTTTTTGAAATGAAAATGACAAGTAATCCAAAAGTAATGGAAAGTAATCAGATTACATTATTTTAACATAGTAATCCTTTGGATTAGGTTACAATTACATGTTTTTAACAGGTAATCAGTAATCTGTAACTGAATACATTTTTAAAGCAACCCTCCCAGCCCTGGACGTTGGTATCGGTGCATTTTTATGAGGTCAAGTACAACCATACAAACACAATATAAGGCTAATACCTGATAATAGTATAAGTATTGATGCATCCCTTCACTTAACAATTTACTGAACTATACTGAACTGTCTATATGATTTGTTGGAGAATGTAGCTGCTAGAAAACTGTAGTAATTTTGCTGGCATCATGAACCAAATGTAGTGGAAGCAGTAGAGTAGCTCACTAACCTAGACAATTAAAACAAATGTTGTTCCTACCTGGCACTCTGAATCCTTGCAAACAGTGCGTTCCCCACAGAAGATTCTCTTAGACTTTGTAAAGTCAGGCATTTCTCCACACTCACTGACTTTAACATCCAAGCACTTCAGATTTGTGTCAGAAACTAAAATAAACAGTTATTATTAATCATTCCATCGTGTACAACACCAGTCGAAAGCTTGGATAAACAATCAAAGAACACTTTGCATGATTAAAGTGAAAGCATTCTTCAGATTGATGGAGAATGTGCTGTACATGGTTCTATATAGCACCATTTTGAAAGGGGTTGTATATAGCACCCAAAAAGGTTCTTGTATCATTACGATGTTACACGTGTAACAACAGAAGAACCTTTTCAGTGCTATATTTTTAATAAGGTGCTACATATAACCACCTACAGCACATTTTTCAACGACCTGAATCAACCCTTTCGCTTTAATGGTTCTTTGAGTGTTCATGGCTCTAAATAGAACCATTTTTTTTTTACTAAAGAACACTTGAAGAAGCATCTTTTTTAAAAGTGTACTTATTTCTAGACTAGAACCAACTTATTCTAAGATTTCTTCTCAAGTAAAATGATCTTGCTGAATGGTCAGATAATTTCATCAAATTAAGTCATTTTCTCCTGCAATTCTTCTGCAATTTAGGGTTTGTTTTTTTGTATTTTAGCCAATGTTTCTTGCTGTGAACAAGGAAATGAAAAAAATCATATAAAATAGCTAAACAAACATTTTTCACAGAATGAACCACTTAAAATGTGGTTTAAAAGGTTAATGATGTTTTCATTATTTTAAGGTTAAATGTATTTTGAATTAATGCAACTGGGGCTGATTTAAAGTTACTGACCCTTATCTGACTGTAAAACGAGCACATTTCAGTGTGTTTTCCATCAATTTCGTCTTTGGCGTACCTGTAAGGTCAGTCTCACATTTGATAGGAGTGCGTGTCATATTTGGGTGTAATAGTTTAACAACGTGAATAAAAAATGCTTGATTTTTGGTTAATGAATCAAAGCTATAATCGGTATCCTTCATAATACCAATAATAAGAATAAAAACTATATAAGAAAATAACAGTAATACTGTGTGCACACAGCAATCCAGTACAAAAAAGCACGTATTTTACGTGTAAATTGACATAAACAAAGGCTGCAACTACTCCATGTTCCATTTAAAGACATATTACACTGTGCTTTTGTTTTATTCTACTGACTCCACCCACAAAATAAACAATACAAAACACAGCTAATGTCATACACTGCAATAATACAGCGTTTAAATTAGTAGTACTAATATTAGTATTATTGTAGGAAAGTACTTACACTACTCAATCACATCATTTAGCCATCTTTAAAGCACTAAGACATTTTGTTTACTTCACCTTAGGGGTGGGAATCTTTAGGCACCTCACGATTTGATTCGATTATGATTCAGAGGGCTGCGATGCGATTATAAAACGATTATCGATGCATCTCGATGCATCTTTTTTCTCTATACAGGATTTCTAGCTTCCTACTGTCTGAGGACTTGGTAGTTTTAAAGCAAAGTATTTGTAATGATCCATGATGTACATACATTACGGATCATTACAAATACTTTCCTTTAAATATCTAAAGTATCTTTTATTAATAAATCAAATGGAAGTGATGTGGCAAGTGAACTAGGAGGCTCTCATTCAGAGACGCTGCTGCCACTCATCTGCGATAAAATGCGCTGTGGCCCTGAAATAAGATCCAGTGGTAATGGGTGACCACGCAGCACGTTACAGCCATCCTTCCCGTTTTCTTTAGTGATCTTATAACTCCGGTTTTGGTCTCGTTGTAGAGGGCGGGGGGGGTGGGGTGGTATTTTCGAGAGTGGACGCTGAATCAGCATAGCGCGAAAGCCCTGGTTCTCAACGACCGAGAACAGACAGCAGGTCACATAGCACCGAGGTCTGGCCTCGCTAGTAGCGAACAAAAAAACAGAGATTAAGACGAACATTTGGAGGACTATTCGCGTTTATAAGCAGCGCGGTTGGTTAAATCTGCAACGAGAGTTAAAAAAAAGTTGCGAAAATGAACTCGCTTCTCTTTCGAATTTTCCCGTTCCACCTTAAATGGTGCAGCAGTTACATTCAGCGCCTAAGGCAGAATTTAAGGTGGAACGGGAAAATTAGAACGAGAAGCTGGCGAATGAGAAGCGACTTCAGCCTCGTAAAACAGCCGGACGCTGAGACATTTTACAAGAAACTCTTCTACTTTTAAAGAAAGGTTTTCTGGCGGAGATGGGAGGAAAGCGGCTAAAGCTAAAGCTTAAAGCAGAGCGAAGTAAATCTGCGCTCTCGTTTATATTGTTTAGTCTATACTAGGACATCATCACATACTGAGACACACTGGACATTAAATGTTGTGGCTCCCAAGGTGGTTTGATTTTTGTTGAAAGGTCAAAATGGCTCTTCTTATCATTTGGATTGTGACTCCTGATCTAACCTGGCTTTAATGCAGAGGGAGCCGGTCGGATTTCTCACTCATCCAGTTGTGTTTTTGTTATGTGCCGCCACAGACTGTCCGGGCGCTGCACATACCCACTTCCAGTTCCGCCTTTTGCGTTCCGTCAACATTACGTTATAAATTATATATTTCGAAAATCAATTTTTTACTTTTGGGAATCGATTCAGAATCGTTCACGTCCGCATCGCAGTGCATCTAAGAATCAAGTTTTTTCCCGCACCCCGTACTTCACATTATATTCTATCCAGTGTATCCAGTGGGCGTCACTTTAGCAGTATAAAGTTTGGTTAGCAGGGGGGCAGTGCACTCACTGGGTGTGTCTCAAAACCTAGTGAGCTTTCTACATAGACAGCATTTTACGTCACAATATGTGCGCTCCCGACAAGAAGGCTGTCCCAATTCTTAGATATCTCAAATATGCTGCCTACTGATGTCTCTCATTTTGGCCCAATATCGAGAGAGCATCGGATGTTTCCTCAATAGCTGGTCTCGTGCAGTGGGCGCGAACAAGCGGCGACGTCACTGCTGTCTAACTAGAGTGACTCATTTATCTGTCTTATAAGGAGAGATGACGGTTGGAACGCTGCCTACTTAGACAGCTGCCTATGTAGACAGCGGCTACTTAGAGAGCTCACTAGGTTTTGAGACACACCCACTGTGCGCTCACCAACACTACCCTTACAGTGAACAGCAGTGATTGAAGTGATTGGGAATTGATTAGGGTGACCACCAATCCAGGATTTCCCTGGATTGTCCAGGTTTTTGTTTGCCTGTCCAGGAATCCATATATTTGCATATGCATTTCTTATCATTTGTGTAGGCTGCCCAACATGCCAAAGAGGAGAACTGGCACTTGTGTTTTTCCATTTCACGCACTAATTCTGTACTATCTCTAAATTACTACCAGTTCACAGTCTGAAAATGATACAGCATTTACAGCAGAGCAATGTAAGTATATTTATAATACTGTACTGTATGTAACATTTTACTTATTCCATTATTTTTCCATTTTACTACTTTGTGGAAAAGATCCAGTGCACCTGATCCAGTGCAGCACAGGATGTTTGTCAGCACTTGGAAAATTTTTAGATCCTTATTTTTATTTTTTAAAAAAGAAACAAACAGAAATATCTCTCGCTTCTCAGAATCTCTCACTTTGTTTATGTACAGTTCTTATGTTTTATCAGTTTTTTTCCCTTCTCTTTGTAATGCAACTGCATCACTGAATTGTGATTAAGTGAATAATTAGCTGAGGCTCTGTGGCAGTAAAGAAGTGAAGTGTATCCTTTGAGCATTACTCCATGACACTTCACTCTAATGAAAATAAATAAATAAACAGATACATAAATTGTAAAATCATTCAGACCTACAGTACATTGACACACTTCCGCCTTGACATACTTTTGTACACTGCCTGGCCAAAAAAAAAGGTCACACACTCTAATATTTCGTTGGATCGCTGTTAGCTTTGATTACGGCACGCATTCGCTGTGGCATCGTTTCCACAAGCTTCTGCAGTGTCTCAACATTTATTTCTGTCCAGTGTTGCATTAATTTTTCCCCAAGATCTTGTATTGATGATGGGAGATTTGGACCACTGCGCAAAGTCTTCTCCAGCACATCCCAAAGATTCTCAACGGGGTTCAAGTCTGGACTCTGTGGTGGCCAATCCATGTGTGAAAATGATGTCTCATGCTCCCTGAACCACCCTTTCACAATTTGAGCCTGATGAATCCTGGCATTGTCATCTTGGAATATGCCCGTGCCATCAGGGAAGAAAAATCCATTGATGGAATAACCTGGTCGTTCAGTATATTCAGGTAGTCAGCTGACCTCATTCTTTGGGCACATAATGTTGCTGAACCTAGACCTGACCAACTGCGGCAACCCCAGATCATAGCACTGCCCCCACAGCCTTGTACAGTAGGCACTAGGCATCATGGGTGCATCACTTCAGCCGCCTCTCTTCTTACCCTTATGCGCCCATCACTCTGGAACAGGGTAAATCTGGACTCATCAGACCACATGACCTTCTTCCACTGCTCCAGAGTCCAATCTTTATGCTCCCTAGCAAATTGAAGCCGTTTTTGCCGGTTAGCCTCACTGATAAGTGGTTTTCTTAAGGCTACACAGCTGTTTAGTCCCAATCCCTTGAGTTCCCTTCGCATTGTGCGTGTGGAAATGCTCTTACTTCCACTATTAAACACATCCCTGAGTTCTACTGTTGTTTTTCCACGATTTGATTTCACCAAACGTTTAAGTGATCGCCGATCACAATCATTCAAGATTTTTTTCCGACCACATTCCTTCCTCGAAGATGATGTTTCCCCACTGTCCTTCCACTTTTTAATAATGCATTGGACAGTTCTTAACCCGATTTTAGTAGTTTCAGCAATCTCCTTAGATGTTTTCTCTGCTTTTTAGTTGTTACTGAAAAAATTATATCAAAAGAAAATTTTGATGAAAATCCTTTGAGCTAAAATGCAAGTTGTTCCAAGTTATTACTTCTTTTTCTTTTCAAGTTATGCCCTTTTTTCCCCTCTGCGTTTTTATGGAACACCATCAAGAAAGGGTTTTAAATGTTTATATTATTAACACAGTCTGTATCATCTGCATCATGATGTCAAAATCACTCACAGTTTCTGAATTAGAAGATTTAGGAATCTAAAGATTTCACACTTTCACATTTCCATGCTGGAACAGTAATTCTAGGGCCTCGTTTGTAGAAAATATCATGGCATATTTTTCATTTTTCTGTTTTTTGTTTTTTTAGGTTGTGTTTCTTGCTTTTCTCTGTTCTGTCTCTCAAAGTTGCCCACAAACATTCCCACTACGACTTTCTCGGAAGCGGAATCTCAGATTGCCTACCAAAGCCAATTTGCACACCTGTTCTCTGGTCCTGCACATGGACACGTCCACCTCAAATTTCACGTCTTTATCACTTACTCTGATGGGCTGTGGCTCAACCAAAGCCAGTCAAATGCACAATGTGGACTAAACACAATAGAGCATGTCACTAAAGAAGAAAGTGGATTGAAACCAATCTGTATAAAATGATTGAACAAGAATCTTGCCAAAGGCATGGAAAGGGTTCACATGTTTTTGCGCTGTTTCTCTAATTTCAAGGGGAAAATATGCCTCCTTCTAGCTCACACTACTGAGAGCAGTAACACTTTAAAGACCCAGGGAACCTTTATTTGTGTTTTCTTTTTAATTATGTTAACCCCGTAATTGGTCAGGGTCCGCCAGCAGGCCCAAAGTTTTATTACACATTTCTACAACCTAAGAATAGCTCAGCCAGTTTGCACTGAAGTCCCTGTAGTTACTGAATAATAAGCTTTAGTATATAATAAGACTGGGATTTTTTTGGGTTCTTGCAGGCAAACAGTAAACATGTACTAAGTAAAATAATACCAACAAATGACCAATAAATATATTTCACCATATTTCTCTCCTCTGGATGTAAACTAGGTGATCCTAATCTTGGGTAATGCTTTCCCCTGACCAATCACAAGGCTGACATCTGTTGCTCTGCCTACACAGAGCAGTTTCAGATTCAGTGGAACTTAGCGAGCTAAAGCTAACTCAGCATATCCAAAAGCTAGCAAGCTAGACCATCACATAAAAGTTGGGTAATGATTTTAGTTATGTGCAAGGGGTGGAGCAGGCTAGGAGTGTTGGACAGAGAGCTGTCAATCAAACTGTTCATTAGCCACGCCCACACAGTCCTCAGATGTGTGGGCGTGGTTTTATCATATTCATACCATATATTTTTCAATTAAGCTTTGCTAGATGTTTATTTTAGTATCATACAAACATGTTTAATATTTTACTCTGTGTTCCCTGGGACTTTAAAGATAGTATGGTGTTTTGTCTGACCGGCAAGGTGGGCAGTTCTAAAAGTTCAAATAACATAAATATAAAGGTACTAATTTAGAACATACTGATTTTTTTCGCACAAGCTTGAATATGAGTACAAAGGTATTTATTATAGAGCTGGGATGTGAGATTACTAAACGCTGGATAGTTTATCAACTCATAAACCAAGCTTGCATAACTGAGTTAAGCCATATGTAGTTCATAAGATCATCAGATCCGACACGAGTCAATTTATCTTCAATTGTTTAAGCCACTTTCATGAACCAGGCTGGTTGTAATAAGGTGCGTTTTTTATGTCATGTGTTTTCATAGCATTTTCCATTCTGTCTGCTGGTTTTCTGCCATTTTAAATGTGTATCATGGATAAAACAATGTGCATATCTATACAATTGGCGGTGGGGTGGTACATTTCTGGTGGTCTCCCTTAATGTTGTCACTAATAACTGTGTAGTTATGCATTAATAACACACGCAACAATGGTGGTGTTCACTGTTACTGATGGATTACAGTAGCACAGCTTATTGCTGTTGTTGGAACAAAATCCAAAATGGTAACTTTACAGGAGAAGGATAAAACCTACTTTGCTTTTAATGTAATTCAATGGAACCTGAATTTTTTCCAAGTCATTTTAGGTCATTTCTTTTGGTCCAGTCATCATGAAATTTACACACAATGTAAAGGACAACAGGTGTTGTCTCTATATTTTGTGTATATTTTCTATATATTTTGTGTATATTTAATATATTTCAGTTTGTTTTTTTTATTTTTACTTGTGTACTTTCTGTAGAGTGATTACCTGAACCTCACCACAAGCATTTCAATGCATAAATGCCTTAACATGTTGTGCAAATGACAAACCTGAAACTTGAAACGTGATTTTAAAATATGTTAAAAACTGAAAAATGTCAAAAATGGAGATGCGAGGTGCATGCGTGTGTATTATCTTCAGTTTTTAGTCATGTAATTACACAAATGTGTCTTGATAGTGGTAACAGCACATTTTCTCTTATGTAATAACACGTCATAGAATGAAGGTAATTACATTTGTAATAGGTGTGTAATTTCCTATATTATGAGAGAACTAACGCTATACATATGCACAAGAACCTCCAACTTTCCTAACACTGAGCTAGCTGTAGTAGTGTGCTTGTGATGGTAACCAAAGTTCTGACTTTAAACCTTCATGTAATGTGATTTATTAATTTCTACAGCAACAGCACATATTTCTAAAAGGACCTTTTATGTAATATATTCAAATATATTATAAAAAGTAACATCTGAATTATCAGTTTTTAATTTTGCTGTACCTTCATAACAACCACACTGGATGTCCACTAAAGTGTTACTATGGAACATTTGTGTTGTAATGTTGTGACCTGCAAATCACATAGATTAATAACTATATAATATCTGTAACATAAAGATATGTTCTGTTGCTGTGTAAATACCTTCAATCAGCAAATAGTTTAAAGCCAGAGCTTCATTTACCATGTCATAACTTGTGTACTACTACAGCTAGCTCAGTGTTAGCAAAGCTGGTATGTCCTGTGCTGATGCAGGTTAAATCCTCTTATAATGTAGGTAATGTAATTGCACCCATCCTGTTACAACTAGAAAAGTTTTGCTGGAAAAACAGCAGTTCATACAAATTCCATTACCCTCACCCTGTTACACATGTGTAATTACATAAGAGAAAATATGCTGTTACAGCACTTGTGTAATTACATGAGTAAAAACTGTTGATACTGTATTTACATAAGCTGTGCTACTGTAATACATCTGTAACAATTACATTATTGTTGCATGCGTTGTTTAACTGCCCAGGTAACAGAGACACTTAATATAAAGTGACCTATATAGACACCTCAGGGACCTCATACTCAGTTAAGTTTAGCAGCCTGAAGATTCTCCACAAGGGGGAGCTAGTAGTGCTCAAGTAGCTTATATCTGCTTCTGTAGAATGGAGGAACTTGTATAAGTAATGGTTATGGAAACATTTACAGTGTGGAACATTCATTTCATCAGCTAGATTGTGGATGACCCCAGGCCAAAAAAGCTGCAGGGGGGCTGTGGAATAGTGAATACTACTAGTAGTGATAGTGATAGTGATAGACTACTAACATATAATCACTTCATTTATTATTACAAGGCAAGTAATTAGGCAACTACTGCTCACCTCCTTCAGCTTTGAAACTATAGCCAGAAACCTGCAGTCCATCTCCCTCACGTGGGGTTATGCAGTCTCCAGAAGGCAGCACAGCAGGCTCGATGTCTTTCTCAGGCTTTGGAAGCTTCAGCAACAAGATGGGCTCATATAAAGGGCTCAGGATATCACTACTCTTAATGGCCAGTGGCTGCTTCTGATCATGCAGCTGTACTTTCAATGCGCTTATGGAAACAAAAAAAGCATGTGAAATCATAAACAACATCACTTCCCTAGTGAGAACCCTAACATGGCCTTAAAGGGGCATTCTACTAAATTTCCACATAATTCAGTGGTTGAGATGTAAACAGAGTCATTCAGAGTAGTTTGGTGTGAAATGGTTGATTGTAGAGACTCATACTTTACAGTGGTGGTGACAGGAACTACAACACAAATATAGCCATTTTATTTACTTTACAAAACCACCGTTTTCTGCACTCGTGACTGAAACGAGTGCTCTGTGATGCTGCATTATAGCTGGAAAGAGGATCATGTGTACACAGGGGTGTGTCTAGATTGACATACTAGTCTGTGAATGAACAGCATATTTAAATAGTAGATGTATTACAATGTTCTTGTCCATTTCAAGAGTTTTGTAAATATAGACACACTGTGCTAAATACAATTTTGTGTTGTATTTTGGGACCAGCAGAATGGAGGTGAAGTGGGGTGGAAGCTGCCACCCTTTCCACCCCAGAGATCCTACTTTGTTAGGCATGCAGTCAGCACATACGCTTCGATTAGTTAACTACAATAGCCTCAAAGCCGCAGTGCTAAAACTAAAGAAGCAAACTTCAAAACTAGTGAAGGTAGTAATTTAGAATCTACTGACCCGTCTATCCCACCATAGCAGTCCTTTGCAGTGATCACCCATTGCTTGTGGATGAGAGTTCCGGCGCACTTTTTGGTGTTAGATTCATACACCACCCACACATGATGGCGTCTCTCGGACTCATGACATTTGTTCACAGACACCACACACTTTACCAAACCTAAACAGAATAAAGAGTTTATAAGGTACAGCAAGGAGTTGACAATCATTGAGGTCAACCTTTGTCCTTTTTGTTTTGACAAGAATTGAAATTTTAATGAATAAATATAATTGTGAATTGAGAACATGAGCAGAAGCACATATGAAAGACGCTTCCTCCTAATCCACCACTATATCAGCGTCGCTGCAGTGCTGAGAATGATCCACCACCCAAATAATACCTGCTGAGTGGCGGTCCTGTGGGGGTCCTGACCACTGATGAACAAAGTAAATGTGATAATGAATACAATTTGCAACTGTAGAACTACAAAGTGTTCCTATATGGTCAGTGGAGCCGATATAGGATGATGAGTTTAGGAACAAGGAGTTGCACCTAGTATATATAAGCAAAAAAGGTAATGAAAAATGTCTTTGAGGTTAATTAGTTCTCAATCTCACACTGGAAATATGAAGAAATAAAAAAAAACAAAAATCAAACCTTTTAATGTAAGTAAAACAAAAACCTCTATCAAAACTATTTTCAAACAAAACCACATTAGAATAACTGACCCAAGAAATTCACATGAACAAAATATAACTGACTTATAGCTGTCTCTGACTTTACATCTACAAGGTGGACCAACAAGGTAGGAGTGTCTAATAGAGTGGACAGTGAGTGGACACAGTGTTTAAAAACTTCAGCAGCACTGCTGTGTCTGATCCACTCACACCAGCACAACACACACTAACACACCACCACCACGTAGATGTTTCAAAGGCAGTGGTTTGGTTCCTGAAATAAGGGGGAGACATAGTTACTAACAACTCATATCATCAAAAGACTAAACATTGAACAGATATTAGAACAGTTAATTTAATGAAAACTATCATGAAGAAGACACTGAAGCAGGATGTATGCATGAGTAGAAACTTTTTAAAATGAAACAAAACACAAATCAAACACAAAAAGTTAAGAAGTTGAATTTAAGACCAGACAAGGAAACACAAGGGCTGTTTATGCCAGCAGACAAGACCAAGACTTAGAAACCGCCCCCCAAAAAAGAGGAGTTACAAACTACATACAGGTTAAAACACTAATAAAAAGGCTAGATTAGGGAAATGGAAGGAGAACGGAGAGGTCAGGGCCAGGAGTCTAAATACTTCAGAATACTGAAAACTACTCAAAATGAGAACACATGATTAGAAAACTATGCCGTACATGATAGTGAATAATTTTACAAGCATCACAAGAGTGGAAAGTATTTTTAAAGTGTAATTTATTACTTTACTTAAGTATTTTTTTTACTTGTACTCTCAAGTATTTCTTTATTTAAATACTTGTACACCATTACATTACCAAGAGACGAAAAATACTGGCTACTCCTTGCATTACAAATCTCAAAAGCTAGGAGAATTTTCTTTTTTATTTATACATCTCAGTGGAATTAATATTCTAATACTGTCTTTTTACAGTATACAAGCAAAATGCTCCTTAGAATGTACTGTTAATTACATTAAAAATGTATTACACTTTACACATACTCACAATGAAAAATATTTTGAGTATATTTAAAAACAGCACATGTTGTATATGTATTTTTAATATAAGAAAATACACAGCGGGGTCCAAAAGTCTGGGACCACTTTGAAAGTCTAGGATTGTCTCCATGTAATCCTGCAAATGAACAACAAAGATTTTTTTTCATTTGAAACAAAAAAAAAAGTTATGAGAAGTAAAGCGAAGAAATATTCACAATTCTGCTGTAGTTCTAAGTTGCTATTCAAACTGAAGCAAATCTGTGAAACTGAACGTGTTGATGCCTTTGTACAATAAGGTCCGATTTTTTGTTTAGTCTTATTTCTTCTATTGAAGCTTGGGTGGATGTGATCTACTCATCAGAGCCTTCTCTCACAGTTCGTGAGTTGTGAAGAAGAAGAAATTCTGATATTCATGTTAAAATTTCAAAGATCCTACAGTTCACTCAGGCTGTTATGCTGAGAATATAATTATCAATTAAATGATACTATAATTATCCATTAAATTTGTGAAGAATGCGAAGTGGTATCAGACTTTTGGACTGTATTTTTCTTTCACACGGGTTGCATAACTGTTAAATCTTAATTCCAGCTCAAACTGTTTTTGTTTTATATTAATTGTGAGTTTGGAGAATTTTCCTACTTACCTACTGCCCAAAGTGTGAGAATCAGGAAAGCAGTCTTGTGCATGGTGAGAACGTCTTCAGCTACTGGATAGGAGAAAATAAGCCAAACGTATCTGACTTTTAAACCTGTTCAACACCAACCATCACCCCACCTTCTCCAGTTCTCCACCAATCACACAACACAGCTTATCAACCAAACTCACCTCCGTTAGTGATCAATCTGCTGAGGAACTGATCTGGAACCGGCTTGTCTTTTCTCTGATGGAGCTGCAGGTGTGGGATTCAATAAAAGAGGCTGATCCTGGACCAGCAGCACAGAACTACTTCAGTTTAGAGATGAAAGTACAGTTTTATGCAAATGTTTGGGCACTCCTGCCAAATTACATATTTGTATGTGAGTTTAGAGACAAGGACAGTCTTATTTCACCTTTGTTAGTGATCAATCTGCTGAGGATCTGCTCTGAAACCAGCTTGTGTTTACTCTGATGGGCTAATCCTGAAGAACTACGTGAACTAATCAAGCACCACAAATGACTCACCTTGAAGTGCCAGTTCCCCAGACTCACATTAAGTCTAAGCCTAAAAAAATCAATTTAATTCAAGACTAGGCTTAACTTGTGTATGGGACTAGCCCAATAAGTGCCTACTAATCAACAACCACCAAAAATGTTATTTTCTTCACAGTGGAGTTCAGCAGAGGATGTTGACAAACATTTGGAATACTGTTATTTTACACAACTCAGCTTGGTCAGTGTGCACAATCATTGACATCTGCAGCGTTTTAGCCATGAAGTAGACTTCTCACAGTACTCACCTGGGATCAAGTCAAGTCACTGCTGTGCCAGCTACCAGCTTAGACCATTCAATCTGTCTGTGCCAACAGTCTGTGCTTTTTTGGACCACTGCCTGTGCTGCAGCCTTTGTGCTTACAAAGCAAACAATTTATATGTGAGTTATGGATCTCATGGTGGGGGAACCAATCACCCATTTTTGCACCATTATTAAATTATAAGAACAGATTGACCTGATGGCCAGCATTCACTTTCTTCACAACAAAGGGCACATATTAGTGACACTCCCAATAAATCAATATTTGAGAAAAGGTTGTTAGCGTTCGCTTAATCCAACTTGTATGAAACGAATATGAATCGTGGATCTAGGCTTAAAGGCCTTGATTAGTGAGTACCAGAATTATATACCTCCATTTCAAGGGACACTTTCCACAGGACTTATCTGGGATCAAATCATGTCACTGCTGCACTGAGAATAGACCGTTACTCAAATAATACGTGGTCAAGAGCAGTCCTGTGGTTTTGCTAATTAAGGTGGCCAGTGAGTGGATGCACAGGGTAGGTGTTTCTAGTAAAATGGCCAGTGAGTGGAAGTACAAGGTAGATGTTTCTAATAAAGTGGCCAGTGAGTGGAAAAACAAGGTAGGTGTTTTGGACAGTGAGTGGAAGTATAAGGGAGGTGTTTCTAATAAAGTGGCCAGTGAGTGGAAGTATAAGGGAGGTGTTTCTAATAAAGTGGCCAGTGAGCTGAAGCACAAGGTAGGTGTTTCTAATAAAGTGGCCAGTGAGTGGAAGCACAAGGTAGGTGTTTCTAATAAAGTGGCCAGTGAGTGGAAGTACAAGGTAGGTGTTTCTAATAAAGTGGCCAGTGAGTGGAAGTACAAGGTAGGTGTTTCTAATAAAGTGGCCAGTGAGTGGAAGTACAAGATACAAGCTGGTCATAAGTGTGGTTCAGTATAGTTGGTCTGCATATTCAAATTCAGACCATTTGCTTCAGTAAAAACAGGCCATAAAGAAGAGTAGTTAGATAATAACACTTGTTCTCATTATGAAAATGGTCTGTAGCAACCCTGATAAACTCAAGCGTATCCAGTCCTGTTCTTAACCACATGCTAAAGATAAGGCGGTGGTTGACTCCCTTATCCAGATGTGTGGGTTTTTTTTTTTTATGTGGAACTGCTGGAGCTGTTTGCCTATCTACTTCTTCAGTATTCTGGCAGCTGCCACCTGCTCCGGTTCACAGAAGGGGCTCTAGAGGTGTAGTATGCAGAGCTGCACTGTGCTACATGCCCTCCTCTGCCAAAGGGACATTAAATGTTGTTATTGTTGCTGTTAGTGTTGTTATTCATTAGTTTAAGTTATGGGTTGTTTGAGTTTTAGTGTGTTGGGCAGTGGGGTTAGTTAGAATGGGTTTGTGTCTACCATGTAATTGTAGAACTACATAGTGCTCTTATATGGTAAATGGAGCTGATAAAATGGACAGTCAGTGTAGAAACAAGGAAGTGGTTTTGGTTTTATGGCTGATGAATGAAAGAACATGAATATGTAATACAATAATATGACTAAGAAACAGGTGGCGGACTTCATAATCCAAACACCTGTAACACTTTACAGTGCTATGAGAAAGCATTTGCCCCCAACCAATTTCTTCTATTTTTGCTAATTTGTCACATTTAAATGTTTCAGATCATCTAACTAATTTTAATATATGATAAAGACAGCATGAGTAACCACAAAATGCAGCTTTTAAATGATCATTCTATTTATTAAAGATAAAGATTTATTCAAAACCTACATCACTCATGTGAAAAAGCAATCGCCCCCCTAAACCCAAAACAGGCTGTGCCACTGTTGGCAGTAACAACTGCAATCAAACATCTGCAATAACCTGCAATAAGTCTTTTACATTGCTGAGGAGGAATTTTGGCCCACTCTTCTTTGCAGAATTGTTTAATTCGGCTATGTTGGATGGTTTTTGAGTATAAACTGTCTGTTTAAGGTCTTGCCACAGCATCTCAAAGGGATTCAATTTAGGACTTTGACTAGGCCACTCCAAAACCTTCATTTTGTTTCCTCTGAGCAATTCAGAGGTGGACTTGCTTGTGTGCCAATCACTGTCCTGCTGCATATCTTAAATGCACTGGAGCTTTAGGTCACAAACTGACAGGCGGCCATTCTTCTTCAAGATTTTCTGATACAGAGTAGAATTCATGGTTCCATCAATTATGACAAGCCGTCCAGGTTCTGAAGAAGCAAAGCAGCCCCAAACCATCACACTACCAC